GGGTTTCTGGTTTCGGGTTTGGGGTTTTAGGGTTTTTCGTTTGGGGTTTAGGGTTCATGTCAACGTGTGTTTTTTTCGTTTTGCTTTTAGTGTAGGGTTTAGGGAATTCTATGGGGGGCTCATGGCGCTTTTAGCGGAGTTTAAGAGGTTTAAGCCTGGCTTGGATAGGTTTGGAGCCCTTCAATTTGCAGAGGGGTGAGGGTCAAGCCTGATCTGGAGGAAGAACCTCTGGTGGAATCTACTGGTAGGGGTTTCCGCGGCAAAAGCCCAAATGAAACAAAGGTAGACCATGCTTGCCTTTTTTCGCTTTTTTTCGACTTCTGCTTCGGGGGTTTCAGTGTTGAGGGTTGCGGGGTTTACAAGTTTAAGGTTTGGAGTTTAGTCGAGGGTCAAAGGTGCCGGTTCGAAGGTTTAGGGTGGGGGGGGGGCTTATTTGACCCTAAACCCTAAACCCTTATGAAGTGGTCCAGTCTATCCCCCTTTTTGCTGCAATTGGCAGCGCGGCGCGAAAGGAGTCTGCCCAAAGCAACGCTCGCTTTCGGGCCTGTGTACTTGATGTATGGCTATATGGTGCTTTTCTTACATCTACACACATCAGTATGTACATTTTCATATGTATGCATGTGCGTATATGTACATATGTATATATATATATGCACATGTGTGTGTGTAGGCATAGACAGGGAGACAGTACGCCTGGGGGATACATCGACGCCGTGAGCCCAGGGTTGCAGCTGAGACTTGTGACTTCCCAGCCCTCAAGTTAAAACCCCCGCACGGCCTCGTTCCTGGCACCCAAAATAATTAGGGGCCTCAAAAATGAGTGATACGCTTCTGTAGGGTGCCTTCTTGTAGTCTTATTCCAATGATCGGAACTCCTATGGTATCGAGTCTGAGCCCCGAACCCTAAATCCCAAACCCTGGACCCTAAACCCTAAACCCTAGAAGCCCGAAACCCTGAACCCCAAACCCTAGAAGCTCTAAGCCCGAAGCCCTAAAGACTAAACCCTAGAAGGAGCCCTCAGCCCGAAGCCCTAACTCCACCCAAATCGGGTCACAAGGCCCCAGATCTTGCACGGGCTCTAAAGTGCAGGGGGTTTGGCGGTTTTTTAGGTTTTTTGGGTTTTGGGTGTTGGAATTGGGGTTTTGAGTTTTGGGTTTTGGGTTTCAGGTTGAGGGTGGTTTCAGTGATTTGAATGGTTTATGTCTTCTAGTTACGGGCGAAATTGCCGAGAATGTAGTGGTAGATGGGCTTCTGCCACAAGGCAGGCATGCAGACGACGGTGGAGGCTGCAAATGCAGGGGCTGGGTAGTTGGAACATAGCCCTCTTCGTGAAGGCTTCCCGAATAGGATGAGGCCCAAAAGCGCTAGGCCTTTGAAGCCCCTATAAAGCATCAACAGGCCCCTATTTCAACTTGCGTATGATGAGGGATACTTCGGTTGAAGGGAGTTTGCACGAGCCTTGGCTTTGTGGGTTTTTCCACCTACCGTAGCTTTTGCAGGCGTAGGCGTTTCCCAGTTTGACCTCCCCAGCACAGGAGTGACAGCTACTGATCCTACTCTTTCGGTTGTTGTTGTCATTGGTGTCTGCTCGTAGGTAGTGCTGTTCTCGTGGCCACATTTGATAAACGAAGCAGACATGCCGGGATTTATGCCGAAAAGCTCTACAATGCAAAGCTCTAAATCCAAATTCCCTGAACTCCTAAACTCACCCAGTCATAAATCTTCGCACCACAAACTGAACCCCGAGCCCAAGACCCAATTCCGACGGGCAATGCCCAGCCGCAGGGGTTACATAGGGTGAATATATACATCTATATATATACATATATATATATGTATGTGTGTGTGCATGTATGTATGTATGTATGTATGTATGTATGTATGTATGGTATGGTATGGTATGGTATGGTATGGTATGGTATGGTATGGTATGGTAAGGTAAGGTAAAGTAAGGTAAGGTAAGGTAAGGTAAGGTAACGTAAGGTAAGGTAAGGTAAGGTAATGTAATGTATGTATAATGTATGTATGTATATATGTATGTATGTATGTACGTACGTACGTATGTAGTTGTAGGTGTTTTTGTGTATATACATTATATATATATATACATATACACACAACAACTTTGCATGTTGCTTACCTACACCCTAAACCTTAAAGCCTCGAGCCCAAAACCTCGAGGCCACCGCAAACCCCCAAACCCGACAGCCCTACATCGTAACAAACTCGAAATCCCCGACAAGCAACACCCCTGCCCCCCAAAAGGCCCCCAAAACAGAAGCCCTGAAGGGAGGCACGACACGCCCTCAAGCCCTAAACGCTAGAGCTAAAGGCTTTACGGAAGCGCTGTAAGCATGCCAGAACCCAGGAGCTCGACACCACCAAAAATCCGAAGCCAGGAGGACGTCGCTGACCTCTTGGACGCCACGCGCGATCGGGTGCCGGCTCCCAGACCTCGGAAGGAGGGAAACAAAGGAGGGTTTTGAGTATGGTTTCAGGATTTTTAGGTGTAGAGTTGCCAAATAAGGTTTAGGGTTTAGGGGGCTTGGAGTTTCGAAATTTAGCACTCATTCAGGTATCTACGTCTACAGTTGACAAGTTGAAGATGGGGTTTTAGGCTGAAGGTAAAGTGCTTAAGGTTAGGAGGTAGAGGATGGGGTTTTTGTTCAGGATTTCAGGTATTGGTTTAGCTTCTGCACAGTTTTTTCTCAAATGGTCTACGATCTCGTACCATGAGATAAACAATATGAAGCCCTAAACCCTAAACTTAAAAACCCTAAACCCTAAACTACGCTACCTGCTATAGTCAAGGGGCAAGGGGTGGGATCCTAGGCTTGGTGTATGAAGGCCAGCTCTGGCTGAGACCTGAAGGCCTAGCAGCCCTGGGCCCGACAGACTTTTTTTTTTATGTAGACCCTGAAATCCCCCAAAATCCCATAAAACCCTAAACAAAACCCTAGAACCCTAAATAATACCCTAGAACCCTAAATAAAACCCTAGAGCCCTAAATAAAACCCTAACACGCAGCAGGCTTCGAGATGTGGATCTTGAGATACAGGGGTGAGGCTGTCATTGCTCGGTTTAGTCAACTTAGGGTTTAGCTAAGGTGTCGGAACTTTTGAGGGTCGATGTTTTGGCCCGCAGCATGTTTGCAGTGGGCTTGCCCGAAACCATCGAAGGCCTAAAGCCCTAAACCTTAAATCCGAACCCTAAGCTCTGGAAAGGACTATAATGTACTATAATTGAACCATAATTGTACTGTGATTGTACTATAATTGTACTATAACTGTATTGTAATTGTACTATAATGTACTATAGTTGTACTATAACTGTATTGTAACTGTACCAAAAAATGTACTAGTCCTTAAAGCCCAAAAGCACTTTCGCCCCCGGAGGTCTTGCTCGGGAACTGGCAGGATAAGGACAGTTCGGACATCGGGGTGGCCCCGAAACCCCAACTCCAACAGCCGTTGAAATCACTGAAACCACCCTCAACCCCAAACCCAAAACCCAAAACCCCAAACCCAACAGCCAAAACCGAACCAAAATTCGAAGGGGAGGGGCTGGGAGAGGCTTCGGGTGGCTGAGATTTAAAGCTTCGGGGATCTCAAGCCCCGGGCTGTTCAGGGTTTAGCCTCGAGCGAAGCAGCTTTCAGAAATAAAGAGGTGGGCCGACCTCCAGAGCGCAAGTAGCAAGCAGGTCACCATCATCATGGTTGGGACCCTGTAGATGAAAAGGGGCAGCTCATATATCATGCTAAGAAGCTCCCATCTCCGAACATTTCGAAGGCCCAAGCCTGAGACCCAGCTTGCAGGGAGTTTCACAAAGCTTTCAGAATCCAATAGCGCAGCCCCAGTGAAAACAAGCTCAGCACTTTGAGCCCGCAAGCCCTGTACTCCTCAACCCTAAAATTCGAAATATTAAAATAATAAGAATAATACAAATAGTATTAATTATTGTTATTAATTATTACTTAGTAATTTAAAAAAATAAAAGCCCCTTCAGTAGCCAAATTTTTCCAGACTCAGTTCGCCTGCTTGAAGTGCAGCGCGGACGAGGAGCAGCCCTGAAGCGCGGTTGGCTGGACCCAAAAGTAAAGCGCAGCCTGCGAGGAGTTTCTGAAAGGGGCGGCCTACGATGTCGTCCTGGCCGACTACTTGTCCGAGGCTCGGGCACTCCTGCGTTTGAGGTTGGTGGGCTTCTTAAGATTACTTAGGGGTCTTCGACGGATTTCAGGGTTGTAACAGGGTTCGGGGTTTTGGCGTGCTTGTGATCTTTGAGATGGAAGCTGTACGAAGATATTTAGGGTTTGGGGTAGGGTTCTCATAATCAGTACGACGAGGTGTAAGGATGTTTCATTTCATGGTTTTTGGTAGGGTGAGCTTCTTTAAAGGATAGGGGTCGGTCTTTGGGGCGCCCTTGTTATAACTTAACTGATAAGGACCTACTCTACTTAGACTCAAATTTAAGCGTTTAGGTTCGGCTTTGAGGCTCAGGGTCTAGGATTTAGTTTTAGACTTTGGGCTTCCAGAGAGCCCAGTACCCCTTAATTGAGGAATATACCTTAAACTATAGGGGCCTTAATATTATGATTGAAGGTATATTCCTTAGTTAAGGGGTATTGGGCTCTCTGGCTTCAGGGTTCAGGCATTCGGTGGCTCTGTGGCCAGGGCTCTTGTGCACTGGGTAGCACCTAGGATAGCAGGTGGTCTGGGATCAGGAGTCGGGCATGGACTCGTTCCCAGAGAGCCCAATACCCGTCAATTAAAGAATATACCTTAAATTTTGGGGGCCTTAAATACTATGGTTTAAGGTATATTCCTTGATTAAGGGGGTATTGGGCTCTCTGGGTTTGGAATAGGTTGGGTTCTTGAGGATTCGGAGTAAGGTGGGTGTCCTCAGAGTTGCTTGAGATCGCATGGGAGCGTTGAGCGAGCGAAGCGAATCCAGTCGGGCTTGTGTTTGGAATGACGCTGTTCTTGGTTTCGCGAGTTTTGAGGTGGAGGTGGGCCCCAAACCCTACACCCTAAGCCCTAGGTTTCCGTTTTTCGAGCTTACGTGAGCCCGGAAGATGCTCGCTGTGTCTTGTTAAAAATGGTCTAAGCCTCGAAACTTTGCAGCGCCAAGCCTCAACCCTAGACTTCCGTAGCTCCCTAAAGCCTGGACTTCCCGAGATCCCTAAACCCTTAAACTAAACCCTATAGGCCGTGTAAGGCCCGAAATACCCTGAATATTGGACCTCGAACCCCCTAAATCCTAGAATGCTCAACCCCCAGCGTCAAAACCCTAATCATCTTCGAACTTTGACTCGGGACGTGGCCTCTGGGATGCTTGAAAACCTCAGGTAGAAGCTGACATATTGAGGGTTGAGGGTTTAGTGTTCAAGGGTTGTGGGCAGCGGAATTCATTGCGTGGGAGCGTATGGCCTCTGATGAGGTGGGTGGCACAGTCGGAGCCGTTTCGCGGCTGATGACGGTGGTGGGGTGTCTACACTTACTTCGATGAGGCCTCGTACCAGTGGTGACCTTGTTGGGCCTGTTGATGTTACGGCCTTGATATGGCCACTGCGGAGAGGAGTAAAGGGGTGCTACTTGTTGCCGACATATACCTGAAAAGGGGGAGCACGACTTGGCGCAATGTATCCCCATATGGGTCATCACTTGCCGCCCTCCTCTTTTGAAGACCTTTCTTAGATGCCAAAAGCGCCAAACCGTTTGGGTAGCAAGCCTGAAACCCTGAACCCTGAATCCCTTAATACTATGCCCCCAAGCCGTAAGCCCTAAACCGCCCTCCACCGCCTGAAGCCTCAAGGCTGGGGTCAGTTGACTTCTTCGCGCCTTACTTTCAGGCCTGCTAGGGTTTAGGGTTTAGAAGTTTAGGGGTTTAGGGTTTAAGGGTTCGGGCCCCTTGAAGGTTTGGGGTTTAGTCTGGGCTCAAGGTGCGCAGCCTTGCGGGCCTAGAGGAGAGTTGGAACTTTTGGAGTCTCCGGGGTGTAGCAGCCCCCGCAAGGGACAGGGTTCGCGGTCCCGGAAATCTTGTGCCCGAGGCTCGGTATCTTTCCAGTTCACGGAATTTGCAAAGGAACCTCAACCCTCAACCCGAAACCCTATAATGCTCTAGGGCTACTCGACACAATCTACCTGCATGTGCACCGATCCGGGCGGCCAACTTGTGATTCTAAGAAGATGTCTCCAGACCTTATGCTTGCATGTGAATGCGAATCACTGCATGTAAAGTTGCACGGTTTGGCAGTTCATGGGCAGACACAAGGAGGGCACTGCACTTTGGCTCAGTCCATGTTGGATTCAATCGAAAGGATTGTCGCTAACCAGTCCCTTCGCAGCACTGGCTTTCGTGCAAGTAGGAGCTGGATGTCCATTCCGTCCGCCTAAACCCGAAACCCCGAACCCCGGAGGAAAAAAGTAGTTCAAAACAACGACCTAAACCATGCAAGCCCTACTGTCAGCCCCAAAACCCTACTGTTTTTGCTCGGGCCTTGTCCCTGTACTGTTCAGTGCGAGCCGTGTCGCAGCTGTTGTTGTGCCGATACTCTCATGTGCCAGTATGCTACATAGTCTCGGTTGGGGTTTAGGGGCAGGATCAAGTGTCAGTGTGTGTCACTGTACGAGTGCACCCCTGGTGACTGCCCCTCCTGCGCCTTGCCGAATTGACGAATGTAGAAATGGGTGTCTTCGTGAACAAGATCTTGCACCAGTACAGGACAGATTCATGTCCGGATGACAATGCTGTGTGAGTTCCTTCATCCCCTGTGAAAAGCCATGAGGCCAGTACATTTAAGTATTTGGTGGTAAACCCTTTACCAAGTTGTCTAAACCCTGGCATTAGCAGCCCCATCGCTTGAAGAAGCCCCGAAACCCCAAACCCTAAACCCGAAGCCCCAAACCCGAAACCCTAAGTCCGAAACCCCAAAACCCTAAGTCCGAAACCGTAAACCCTCAAACCCGAAGCCCCCCCAACCCAAAATCCTAAAGCCGCTAGAGGTGGGCTTACTCAAGCGGCTGGCGCGCTTGACCAGGCCGCGCTCTATTTACGCCTCAGGACTGTTTTAGAACCCCTTATAGGGTTCCTTCAAAGGGTCTATAAGCGTTACTATAAGGTTACTGTAGGTTTTTATTTCCGGGTTTAAACTTCAACACGCGAGACACGAACGCCGCAAGACCCTAAAAGCCAGACACAGTGCCCCCAACTCCAGCCCCTGTTTGGGCTTAGGGTTACAGGGATAGTGCCGCTCACCCTGAACCCTAGGCCCTAGAGGCCCTAAAGCCCTATCGTAACCTTTTAGAAACCCTTCTAGATCCCTTAAAGGGACCCTTAAAAAGGAACCCTTAAAGGGAACCCTTAAAAGGAACCCTTACAACTTCCATAGCCCGACGTCGATAGCCCATGGCAGGCCGGGTGGCCTGTTGGTGCTGCTGGGCCGCGAGCCAGAGGAGCGGTATTGTGGGGAACTCCTTTAAAGGCCTTCTCTAAGGGATCTATGAATATATATATATATGTATATATATATATATGTATTTGTATATGTATATGTAGCCTTCTCTAAGGGTTCTATAGAAGGGGAACTCCTTTAAAGGCCGTCTCTAAGGGTCCTGTTGAAGGGTTCTATGAAGGGTTCTATAAAGGGTTGTATAAAGGGTTCTATGAAGGGGTTCCTGCAAGGGTTTCTATAAGAGTTTTCCAGAAAGGTTCTATGAAGGTCCATGAGGCTCCATGAGGGTGCTGTGAAGGGGTCTATAAGGGGTCTCTACTTTTCGGGGGCTTAGAGTTTAGGGCTTTGGGGTGTCGCGGTTTTGGGGTTTGGGCGGGTCGGTCGGCTTGGGTTCCCTTTACCCTAAATAAATCCTAGACCCCACTACCCTACGCCCTATAAACCCCTAAACCCCTAAGAACCCGACTACCCAAGCCGTAAAACCCCGATACCCTAAGCCCTAAGTCTTTTGACTCTACATCCCATGTCAAAGGCCGAGGACCCGCAGTGTGCGACTTCTGGGCTATGTCTCTTTCTACCTTCTCTTGCTTGTTTTGGGGCTTAGAGGTTTTCGGGGATTAGGGGTTTGGGGGCTTAGGGTTTAGGGGCTACAGTTGCTTTCCTGGGGATCCTTTTAAACATGCATTCACTGCTTATCATTTCATGGGAGCAGAGTCCCGCATCCTGGACTCCGGCTTATTCCCGTGCCGTCTCCGGCAAAACTAACAAGAGGTCTCAGGGTTTGGGGGAATCAAGCCATCAACTGTGGACAGTTTTCGATGCCCGATAGTGCATGAGATATTGTGTTGTTCTCTGTCTGCCGTGTCGCTCGTTGTTCAGGCTGTGGGCATAGAGCGTATGTAGTACACATCCCCGCAAAGCATGTGTGGGGTCCCCTAAACGAAGACGCGCTCTAGGAGGTCCCGGTACGGCCATAGGTTTCAACTCTGAACACCCCGGCTCCTGGAGTCAGTGGCCGGTTCGGGCAGTGCACCTGCAAAATTAACCCTTGAAGCAAAATCCGAACCCTAAAACTTGATCGCATACGACCGCCCTGCCGGTCATGCAGGGCCTGCCTTCAGCAGTCGCAGGAGCTGGAGGTCAAGGACGAGACGTCGCAGCTGGCGGTAGACATCCAGTGCTTCAGGCGCAGCCTTGCTAGATCCCTAGCCACCGAAACCGGCCTCCTGGATTCACAGACCTACTATGTCATCGGTATATGAACCACAGATCGAGTAGACTCCAACCTCGGGATCCTTGGGCTGAGGCGAAACCATCCCGGAACCCTTCTCTTCGATGCCATTTTTGCTCTCAGAGGAAGCCCACCTCGATACAGACATCGTTTTTGCAGGCATTTTCCATTGGACCAGAGTAATGTTGGAACAGCTGCCAAAATCCTATTTTCTGAAAACCCCCTACTTCGCAGTTCTTGACTTGACCCCGCATCGTTATCATGTAATCCTAGAGACCGAGCCCGAAACCCCCTACACTGCAGCCCTAAACCTTTCTTCCTGTGCTTGGCCAGGGATGCCGTGATCCTCCTTGGCCGGCAGCATCCCTACAGGCACCTTGAGCTCAGGTAGCTCTGAACAAACCTATACCCTAAACCGGTTCGCGGTGTAAACTTCGGCAAGATGTGGGGTTTGTGTAGGCTAGGGTTGAGGCCAGGTAATTGGATTCGATCCTGCCTGCTCCTGAACAAAGTTAGTAAGTATGTTTTGAGCAGGGCTAGAATCTAGAATTGGGACCGCCCCTGCTAGGGCCTGTTGCCCTCAACCCAAAACCCTAAAACCCAAACCCAGCCAGAGGCATCCCTCAGTACTAGTGATAGTAACCCGTACATCTATAGTAACTCTGATGGTAGCCCTTATAGTAGGAACCTCTCGAGGAGCCCCTGTAGTAGTCCTTATAGTGACTCTGATGGTCACCCTTCCAGGAAGCTTTTAAAGGAACCTCTTTGAGAACCCTAGAAGACCCTGTAGTCAGCCCTTAGAGAACCTCGTAGGTCCCCCTTTAAGGGAGCCCTGTAGTAATCCTTCTAGAAGCGCGTAGATCCCCCTTAAGGGAGCCCTGTAGCAGCCCTTAGAGAACCCTCGTAGATCCCCTTTTAAGGGAGCCCCCCTGGTGTTCCACAGGGAGATGCCCCGGCTCTGGGTGGCCGAGCAGCTCTGGCAGGAGGCAGGCCAGCGCCTAGTTTCGGTCAGGGTTTCTTGAAAGGGTTGTTGTTTTTTTTACGACTCACTTTTTGTTTGATATTTTTTAGTGGGTTCCGCTCAAGGGTTACCATAAGGGTTGCTTTGAGGGCATAGTGGGGTCAGGGTTGTGTTGGCAAGTTTGGGGCTTAGGGTTTAGGGCTTGGGGTTCAGGGCTTGGGGGCTTGGGTTTTAGGATCAAGGTTCGGGGCTTCGGGTACCCGGTTTCGATTCCGGAGGCGTCATCCTTGCGCTTACGACCCCACTGGAAGGGTGGCCAGGGCAGAGGGGCTCTGAAACAGAAGCAAGAGCAGAGGGCAGAGTACCTGGTCGACAAGGCTGCCGAGAGGCACCGCAACGCCCCCGACTCTTCCGCGGCCGCCGCCGCTGATGACGAGCAGGAAGAGGTCGATCAATCCGACGACGGACGCGTCGAGGTTGAGGTCGAGGATTTGGCGGACGTTGCATCACAGGAGGAGTAGGAGCAGGTGGAGTCGGACGACTCGGAGGAGTAGGAGGAGCCGGAGGAGTAGCAGTAGTAGGTCTGTAGGAGTAGTAGGAGTGGCAACGTAGTAGTGGAAGTCTAGTATATAGTGGTAGCGGTGGTATAAGTGGTAGCAGTGGTAGTGGCCGTAGTGGTGGCCGTCGTTTTCGTATTCCTCGTCGCCGTCGTAGTCGTAGTGGCAGCAGCAGCGGTAGTTAGTTTTCCTGCTAAAGATGACTCTCGCCAGCTTCATGAGCCAGATGCTCACGGCCTTTAAGAAAGGGGTTGATCAATCAGGAGGTCCCCACATCCCGAGGCTGTGAAGTTCAGCTGTTAAGTTTCGCTTTGAGCATTCCAAAACCCCTAAGTGTTCCGTGGTTTGGGCACGAGGTTTCAATTGCTGAACCCCTACATCTCTAAACCCCAAATCCCAAACCCCAGACCCCAAATTCGAAGCGTTAGTCCGTAAGCCGTAAAGCCCTCCTTGTAAAGGCAAAAGATCATAGACTCCTACCCTTGATTCAGAACCCTTAAAAGGATCTTGATGTAGAAGCCCACTCATTAGAAGAATTATAGTTCTTTCGGGTTCCTGAAACTGTATTGGTACGATCATATGCCCCAAAACTCTGCCCTGTTCTTATTATTACGGCCCCGATACTCAACCCTTGTACAACCCATCAGAACGCTTTCTAAAACGCTTATGAAACCTTTATTAAACCCACATAAAAGCCCTCAGAAACATCCTTATGATGACCCTTAAAGGAACTCTTATCCCTGAGCCCTATAAACAGCTTGGGAACCCAAAGCCATCCAAAACCCGACACCCCAAAAGGAGCCCTCTGGGGACACCGGCAGGGCCTAAGTAGAACTCTTAAAGTGCATGAATGGAACCCTTGCAAGGATCCTAAACCCTCCCCAAACCCTAAACCCTACACCTACACCCTAAACCCTAAACCCTAAACCTTAAAATCTAAACCCTAAAGCTAAACCCTAAACCCTGAAATCGGAACCCCGAAATCTAAACCCCAAACCCTCAAATCTAAACCCTCAGCCACTGTCGGAACCATTGGCAGGGCCTGAAGTTGGAGCAAGGGCGCCGCTTCCAAAGGTTCCTGAACCTCGACAAGGCTGGACCCGTGGCGCTGGGATTAACAGGGTTTATGGTTCAGGGTCTAGGGTTCAGGGCTTAAGGGTTTAGGGTTCAGGGTTCAGGGTGTAGGGTTCAGGGTTTAGGGTTTAGAGTTCAAGTTTAGGGTTCAGGGTTTAGGGCTTAGGGGTTTGGGGTTTAGGGCTTAGGGAACGCACCGGCAAGATGAATCTAACTCGAAGTAGAAAAGTCTTTTCCTAAGCAGGTGTCCAAGAGAAGTAGCTTGATAGGAGAAGGGTTCGTAGCTGTTCAAGGTTATGACCGGCGGTGAGCCAACGAGGTGGAAGGGGTCGTCGTCAGGTGGAAGCAAGACGCGAGTTTGACGTCTATTGCATGTGGCCCTAAACTCTAGGCTACAGGTTCAGGAACCCTCATGGAACCTTCAACGCCCCCGTGAAAGCAACCCCTGACAAACACAATCTCTTGCAGGTAAAAGTCGAAGGCTAGGACCCCTATAATCGGCTATCAACCCCTATGTACAGATTCGTTCAACCCTTGAAAGCTCCCTTTTAACAACTTCCTGACAGTCCTTTTGCTGACGATGGCTTTGTACCCTCATGCCAACCTTGTTGAATTTCGTAACTCCGAAAGGAACCCTTAAGGGTTCCTTTAAGGGTTGCTCTAAGGGTTCTGTAACAGGGTTCCGTTTAAAGGAAGCCCTAAAGGAGCCCGGAAGGTTAAGGCTAAGACTTCAGACGAGGTTGAGCGGAATTTGGTCTGGGCGGAAGAGGACCGATCCTCGATGCCGAGATGCGAACTTTCTTGTCGGAACTGGAAGGCCTTCACAGGTTTTTGTACCCCTTATATATATATATGTACATATAGATATATAGATATATAGATACATAGATATATAGATATATAGATGTATAGATATATAGAGACAAAGATATATAGAGACAAAGATATATAGAGAAACCGTTGTACGGGGGGTTTTGTACGTTGTTGGCAGGGTGAGGCAGTTGTGGGGGGTTCGCAGCACGAGGGGTGCCTTGTTCTAGGGTCCTTCGTCCTCTAGTAAGGGTCCTGCTGTTTAGGCTCCGTATCATCATCTTTTCTTAACTTTTGAAACCATAATCCCTCAACTAACATGTAAGGCAGCAGATTCAGGGCTTCGGTTTTGATTGCAAGCCCTACGCCCCTAAACCCTAAACCCCACGTCCCAAACCCTAAACCCTAAAGCCGTATATTAAATACATCCCGAGTCCGAAGCCCTATCTATCAATCCGAAGATCCCAAAGCCCCAAACTTAAAGCCTGGTCTTTGAAGCACTGAAACCCAGTTCCTGAACACGGTGATTGCATCGTATCATTGTCCCTATTGTCATGACAGTTGTCCTGCCGTTTGTCTTTATGATCACTGCTGTGGCTGAGCCCTGAACGTACCTTGCCAGTTGTGCTCCAGATAATGGCCCGAATACGCTGATTTCTGCAGTAGAAATAATTACTAACAATAACAATTGTTAATAACAATGAATAAGAAAACCAATGATATTTAATAACAATATTAACAAGCATAGCGATACTTAGTAATAATAACAACAACAATAATAGTAGTAATATAAATAAAAGAACTGTTTATAAGAATAACAATATTGTTTAAATAATAATAATAACGATAATTTATAGCAATTAAAATATTAATGAATAGTAACTAATACGAATAGCAATAATATCCAATAAAAAACTAATATGAATAAGAATAATACGTACAACAGGAGCTGGAGCGCGTCCCGGAGCAAAGCCTCCGAGACGACCTCCGGAGGCGCTGCATCGAAACGTTTCGGGGCTCCGAAAAAAAGGTGGCGAGTTTCAGGGTTTAGGGTTTTTAGGGTGTTTAGGGTGTTTAGGGTTTTAGGGTTTTTAGGGTTTTTAGGGTTTTCGGGCTTAGGGTTTAGGGTTTAGGTACCTTATGTGGGAGTCTGTATCATAGGCTGCCATCATTTTGGTCTCCATTTCAGGGTTTTACGATTAAATGTTTGACATGGTTGTTATTTCGAGTTTAGGCCTCCAGTGGTTTAAAGTCAGGGTTTTGTGGGTTGAGGATGGCCGATTCATGGGAGCATCGCCCGCTTGAGGATCTACGGGTACCCTACGAGGTATACACACCCCTGAGCCTGAAACGCAATACATCGTAATGCCATTGTGCAAACAGTCAGTCTAAGGTAGGTTTGGGGATGGTTTCGGGAGACTACCGCTGTGCGTCAGGATGTGGGCACGAGGACCAGGCGTCTTTAGAAAGTTGAGGTGGCCGTCATACAAACTGGGGTCGATGGGGTCTTAAGTTTTTCTCGCATCTCTGCCATATCCAGTAACCTCAATCAGCATTCCAGTCATCCAAAGAGGACTTAAGAGCCGACCCAAACATACTCATCGCTACCTCCATGGGAATCTATGACAAGTGCCATTGTAGTACGAACTTCTGCTTTTGAGAAGGCAACGTTTTTTTTCAAAAATACGTGCAAGACAATCGCTATACTTGCTATACACACTTTATATCTCCTGCCGGCCCAAGCAATTCCCAAGCAGGGACATGAGTATTGTACCCTTAAACCTTAAGGCCGCGAAACCTAAACCCATTCAACACGCCTTAAGAACTTTCTAAAATCCGCCACACCCGACGTGTCTGTGGGAGGCACCTGGCGCGTCTCCGCAAAAGAGCTGCTGCAAGCGTTCCCCTCCGCGACGGCCACGCCTTCGGCAACTCGCTTCCCTAGGGTGTTGTGAACCCGCGGAGTGTGTACTCGGCTTACGCTCAGGGTTTCAAGTGGGATAACCCCAGTACGGCCATCGTAGAACCCCCATATCTCCGACATACGGAGTCCTGTGATTCTCCAAGATGACCCTAGCTGCCTGCTGGGAGCCCCTGTCTGAAAAGCCCAGGTGCAATTTTTCCGCCACCGAAGCCCGAAGCCCTGAAATCTCAGCCCGTAAACGCTGTTGACCCCTGCACCTTACTGGTGCTTAAGGGGGAGTGGAGGAGGGTATTTAGGGACTACTATAAGGGATTCTCGGTATTTAGGGCCTACTCTAAGGGATGATCAGGGACTTTCATAGGGATCCACTTTCCCACTCCCTCTTAAGGCACCAGTAAGGCGTAGACTCTGAAGGGTATCTCTTTCTTTGCCTCATGCGCCCTTTGCATGCTGGGTTCTCCAAACCAGAAGAAAACCCTGATTGTAGTTCAAGAAGCCAACAGAAGGCAGTAGACAAAACTTACAAACCTACAACTACTCTATGACTACCCCAGAAGATCTTGCACAACCGTCATGGAAAGCCAAGGCGAAGACTACGCGCTGATCTTGCGAAGACCAGACTGACGGCGCGAGGGACAAAAGTCGTGAGGCTTTGGCATCCAAATCTATGTCAGAGTTTTGTTAGAGTCTGGATAGTTTCTTTTATCTGATGCTTCTAAAAATTGAGGTCTCTTTCAATTGAAATCGGTTCTGGGCTTCCTCTGAAGGGGTGTCAGTGTTTCGGGATACTGGGCGCCTCGGGGCAGTTCGTAACCAGGCAGTGTAGGTTTTGGGGTTGAACGGTTCAGGGTTCAAGAGTTAACGATGTTTGCAGGTACGAGGCTTCTGGTGTAAACACTAAAGCCTAAACTAAACCCTCGACCACCCTACTCTCTAAACCACAAACCCTTAATGTATCTCATGATTGCTTGTAACCCCGCCCTCATCTCCTTTGCCCAAGACCCCACCTACTTACTACACAGAATGTCAGGGAAGAGGCCATCACTAGTTGGACTGGGGTTCATGTAAATGCAAGGTTCTATACTTGTTACAGATATTCAGGCCCCATGTTTAATCCGGTCCTCCAGTCAGCGCAAACCCTGCCCAAGATGCGAAAGATCTGAAATTCCATCACTAGTGTGGCAAAGTAGGCCCATGATGAAAACCCACCCCCTGAACGGGAACTATGAGCTGGATCCTTGTTGAAAGGCCCGTAACGCAAAGAGGTTACTAGTCAGCCCTTTAAAATGTACTATGACCCTACCGGAGGCCGTACGCACACCCCAAGTCTAAGTCTGTCCCGTAGAAGCCGTAGACCTGGGCGATGTTTACAAGTGCAAGTGCGGCCTGAATCCGAGACTTAGCAAATCCGAGACTTAGCAGAACCCGAAACCCCGAACCCTCATCCTTACTGGAGCCCTTACAGTACAATTATTACTATCATATTACTATCATTAATATCATATTAACATTATCATTACAATCATTATTATCATTATTATCATAAGAAATAATTATTATTTGAAGATTGTTTTCAACCCCAGTAAAGTCCGACACACTACAATTTATATTACCTTGTTGCAAACAAATGGCCCTCAGCCTGAATCCTAAACCGTAAACCCTAAGCCCTAAACCCTGCACCCTAAGTTCCTAAACCCTAAACCCTAAACCCCTAAATTCCTAAACCCCTAAACCCCTAAAACCTAAATCCTAAGCCCCAAAATTCTTAAACCCCTAAGTTCCTAAACCTTAAACCTTAAACCATGAACCAGCGGCCTCTGAGGTCTCTGCCCCAACAAGCCTTGCAAGGAGCCGACCTGTGGAACAAATGCTTGCGGTTCCTTCTAACCATAAGGGGGTTTCCGAAAGAAGGGGCCCCCCAAAAAAGTACCCTAAATAGTAGGATCCTTATTATAAGAGCGCCCAAAATAAGGTACCCACAAGGGTCCCAAGGACTCAATAATTTGATCATCTGGTGCTTGGGTTCAGGATAATAGTCATATAGGCCAGTAGTCTTTGCGGGAGTATAGCAAGGGTAAGGTCTCAACCCTAAGCCCTAAACCCTAGTAAGGTCTCTCAGTGTTCCCCTTAGGAGTCCCTCTTACCCTGAAGGAAGTGAGCGAAGCTGAGCTTCAAGGTCCTGACCTTGTCTGTTCCTACTTTGGATAGTTTATGGTATTATAGGTATCCAAGGCCCTAAGTAAGGAGACTGGAACTGCATGGGGCCAGTTCCCAAGTCTTACTTGTCATGTCGATTTGGTATCTGCGGCAGCCTGAGCTTTGGGGTTTAGAGTTTAATTAAGGGTTTAGGGAAGCCGTATCCCGCTCTTTTAACGAGGACCCATCGGCTTGTTGTCGCTCCTGCCCAGCTGGCCGTGGCAAGCACGCGGAGAAGAGGCAGAGGGCTGACGTGGCAGATGACAACATCGCCACCGCTGCGAACACCAAGAGTCGTATGAGATGGCAAGGCTTTGCCATGGTCATGCAGCTGCATTGATCGGCTATGAACCCCCTCAGTCCTATCAGCTGTTGAGTGCGCGGATCTACAAGGGACGCTGAGCCTATTGATGTTTATGAACTTTAATGTGGATCCGGGTTGCAGTTCCTGTACCCTTACGGTCCGTGATTCAGTCCATTCCTGGTCGCCAAATGTGTATTCGGGCTTCCGGGGCTTTGGGCTGTGAGTTCTTGCAAGAGGGCAGGGTCTGAATCCCAAGCCGCAAACCCTGAAACTGTGGTTTTTTGTGTTTTTTTTCTTTGGGTTTGGGCTTCGGAGTTTAGCAAACCCGAAAGTTACCCGGATGTGACTTGAGGACAAGCAGCTTAGAGGAGCCCTAGCAATTTCGTAACCCTTGTAGCAACCCCGACTAACTATAAACCCCTAAGAGAACACTTGTAGCTAACCCTTACAGGAACCCTTGCAGAAAGTCCGCAGAGCAGAAACCCCAAACTCCAAATGCGAAGCCATGAAAATCCAACATCCCCAAAGCCAAGCTCTGGGAAGAGCCCTACAGCCCTTGACAGCTGCTGTTCGAGAAACGCCCATAGGACGAATGTGAGCCGGTCGACTGCGTCTTTACGGAGTGGGGAGGCAGTTTTCGGTTGTAGGGTTTCGGGGCATCAGGAGTTTCGGTTTCAGGAGATATGCCGCTTGAAGTTTGAATACTCCCGCTGTCTTTCCAACTTCTTGCTGCTCCCACGTATGTTTGCATTGCAAGATTTCGGCGTGAGAGTTGGTATTGAGGTTTTATCATGCGGCTGTTGTGCTGCGTGAGCTGGTTGATTGTTGAGGCATGTTTCCAAAAATGCAACTTCAACTCGCTCAGGACTGAACATCCCCACAAACCCGAAGCCCTATGGCTCCTGGTCTAGGCCACAAGACGGAAAAGAGCTCTGAAACAAGAAAAGCCCTAAGTCCTGAAACCGAAACTTCCCTGCAATCGGCACCTGAAGCTCTGTCAAGCTCGCTGTGGCCGCCTCATTTCACTCGTACCCCGAAGGTCAAGTATACAAAACCCAGCCAGAATGAATCTTAACCCACGAAAGACCATCTCGACTTGCCTTTCGGATCTGCACCTGTGGACCCTTCCTTCAAAGTCACATGGAAATATGACGCCCCCTCTTTTCCATTGCAGTGGTGGGCCTTCGTCAGGTTATCCCGTTATCCCCTGTAGCTTCTATAAGGGACCCTTAACAGAATCCCCCCCTGCAGCACCTTCAAAACGGATCCCTAAACCCTATAAACCCTAAACCCTAAATCCCTCCCAGACTGGTCGGTTCCGAGCTGCGACCAACTCGCCGAGCGCAAGCGCGGCGTGGCCACCACTGCCAGGCTGCAGCTCGAGGGGTGTTTTGGGGTTTAGGGGTTTAGGGTTTAGGGGGTTTGGGGGTTTAGGGGGTTTGGGGGTTTAGGGGTTTAGGGGGTTTGGGGGTTAGGGTTTAGGGTTCAGGGGTTTAGGGTTTAGGGTTTAGGGTTTAGGGTGTAGACTAGACTTTGTGTGTTTGGGGTTTGGGCTCCTCTGGGTTTTGTAGGGGTTCTGCGAGGGTTCC